TTCATTTTTGGTGCTTTGAATTAGTGATATGTTTAGTACTTTAATCCACCAAGATGAGTGATTGACTTTAAAGATGAAAGAATTTTGAGGCTGTGATCTAAATTAGCTTATCAATCCCATTCCTCTTTATCTTATCCTTTTCTTGTTTTTACTTGTGCTACATGTTTTTGGAGAATGATCTATATATCATTTCTCTAACATGTTAGTACATAGATTGCTATTGAACGGCCTCAAAATAGGTGTGACTTCTACATAAGTCCACTTACGATTGTTTAACATAGCGCTAAATTTATCCCAATTCGAGAAATGATTATTCATGGTCCAAACCTATGTTTGTAAGCCCAAATATGTTTAATTTGAAATCTTTGATCCAATAACCTTGAGGTTCATTGTTAGGAGACTTTGGTATTATTAATCCTCTAATAAACCATCATAAAATTTGGTCTAAGTGAATCATTTAAATATCATTGATCATATATTGTTGCCTCGAGAACTTGAAATCACTGATATACTTGACAAAAAGCAAATGAAACTTGTTGTTGAGAAGCTTTGATTTTATCAATCTTCTAATGAGTTTTCAAATACAAGTTTCAAGATGGTCATTGAACAAACATCTAACTTCTAATTCACTAACAATTGACTTCTACTTTGTGCATTTACTTTATGCTTTTATTTTATGCATTTACTTTTAAGCACCATTTATTTTAGCATTTTACATTTTATGCTATTTTCATCTTTTCTCACTTGAGCATTTATCTTTATGTCATTTTTATTTTACTCACTTGCTTTTTATTTTATTTTTAAAGACGCTTAATAACTAACTTGAACGATAAAAAAATTTAAGGTTACTTGGACTATTTGGTTACTATCCCTGGCATAATGGAGTTATGGACTTCTTGTACTTAGGATTAGAATCCTTTGATACCTTTGAGACCTTATGACTCTGATTGTTATTTTGTCTGGAGTTCTTAGGGTTTACACCAAGACATTGACTTGATTTTCTTTGTGTACAGGTTATTCTGATTATGTGCTTTATTTGTGATTGAGAAGTCCTCTGTATACAGCTGTTACTATGCACAATTTTTTAGAAGACTTAATTCATCTAAAGCTTGGTATTTTTAAGAGGTTTAGTATCTTTTCTTTCTTGGTTTCAATCTAAAGGATGAGAATTCTATATTGACTCTTTATGTCAAGTGTTGGCTTCTTGTTGGTTAGAGGTTCTTTTCCCTAGCTTTTACCTTTTAGGATAGTCCCTTCATGTCCTCTCATCTTCTTTAATTTCAAAATCTTCTCCCTCCTTTTCAAAACATTTCTTGTTTTCTAACTTGAACCTCTTTCATATTAAATGTGGACTTAGATCCATGCATTTTCAAAAATATTTTCTTAACCAAACTTTAACTTACTTAATCATACTTTGACATTTTTTATGATAAGACTAAAATTCAATCAATCTCATTCAAACTATTTTTGTCACTTTGGGATTTTGCTTTAAAATTTTCTTAAAAGATTAGACTCTTGTCAATCCTTGTAGTGATGCGAGCTACTATACTTCTACTATATGTAGTGAAATGAGATATTTTCCACTTGGGTGTCGAGTGAGGCTTTGTTGATTTTAAATCCAAGATATATCTTCCACTTTGAGATGATGCAAATTCTCCTTTCTCATAATCATGGGTAGTAAGTATGTTTTCCACTCAGATATGACGATGATGTCTCGTCTCTTAAAATTAACCAACACACTTATGTTTTAAAAATTTTAAAGGCGAACTACGATTACCGGGTCCCCTATTACACGCAAGGTGGTACATAGACACTAAAGGTTCGCAACCGCGGAGGGTGAAAAAATTGTAAGAATAGTTCTTTTGTCATCTCCACCATCTATTTTTGTATACAACACATATATCCAAAATACACAGATTTTCAAAGAGGTTCCTACGGAGTATCATAAATGTTTAGGGTGCTAATATCTTTCATTTTCATAACCAAACCTCTTACCTAGATTCTCTCCCTCTCTTTTTTTGGTTGTTCGCTCTTTTCCCATTTCACTGGAAACAATAAAGCACGGTGGTGATTTTTATTTGATTTGTGCGAGTCAAGTCAATCCAATGGATTAGTCTCAACATTTCTACCGCTACAACTACTATCTATAGTTATCCAAATGCATTTGAAAAAGACATATTGGAGATAAATATTGCTAATGAGTCTGCTTTCAAGCATTTGGTAAACCTGCCAGCTAGACATTGGACCAAGGCTTTCTTCAAGACATATCCTTTATGTGATGCCTTGGTAAACAACATGTCAGAGGCTTTCAACTTTGTGTTTGTCACTTCTAAGGCCAAGCAAATAATAACGTTGCTTAAAGAAATCAGGGTATATCTCATGCTAAGGTGGGAGTCAAACAGAAAGAAAATTGTTAAGTTTGAAGGTGATGTTTTGCTCAATATCAGGAAAAAGATTGCAAAACAATCTGGAAAAACAAACAAATGGGTTGTGAGTTACATGTTCAACTACTTATGTGTTGTGTAAATTATCCATTAACTTGTGTGATTAAACTATTGTATTTTATGCAGACGTGCATGTGAGTTTGATTATGAGGTGAGGCACATCTCAAGTAATGGGGAAAAATATGTTGTGAATTTGTCCACCAAGATGTATTCTTATAGGCTATGGATGCTGACTGGTTTGCCATGTTGTCGTGCAATATCTTGCATGAAATCACAACAACTGAATATTGAAAACTTTGTTCCTGACTGTTACAGAAAACCAGTGTATGAGGCATGCTATGCATCTGTTATTTTTCTAGTCGATGGGGAGAGTCCGTGGGAGAAGAAAAATTATGCTGAATTACAACCACCACCTATCAAGAGGCAGGCAGGAAGGCCCAAGAAGAAGAGAACCATAGATCCATCTGAGAGTATCAAGGATGAGACTCAACTTAAGAGGGCAAACTTTAGCATTAAGTGTAGTAGATGCCACATGATAGGGCATAAAAATCAACATGTAAACTGCCACCACCAAGTCAGACTAGTCAGCCTGAACTAGCTCAGACCACTCAACCTGAACCAATTCAACATGGTCCTTGCCATCCCGAAGTAACTCATCATGAAGCAACTCAGCCAGAGACAACTACAACTTGAATTAGGCTTTGATGCCCTTATGTATATTAGTGTTAATGAACACTGAATTATCTTTTATTTATGCCCTTTTGTTACTTAGTGTCAATGAACACAATATTAGACTATTATGCCATTTTATAGCTTTGTGCCAATGAACACATAATTTGGCTTCTATGACCTTTTGTAGCTTTGTGTCAATGAATACATTATTAGGCTTTTATTCCATTTTGTATTGTCAAAGAACACATGGTTTTATAATGCAAATCCTTTGGCTTATTCTATTTGTGTCATGATTATACATAAAATTGAACATTATGTTTATATACAACATATAACTGCAACATTACATGCCATAATTTATTCAAATGTTTTATTTAAGTCCCTTATGTAATAATATTATTTTACTATAATTATCATTCTGCATATTTACAAGCACAACTCAATAACATATAACAGAAGAAATGGTAAAAACACTGATACAACAATCCAATCTTTTCATTAAAGCAACATAAATCTTACATACTTTCACAACATTGACAACAACTTTATTTCAAATACATGGTTACAAAGACTAAATTAAACCCTAAACTAATAATGGCTAATACTATTGCGTTCTTCAACAGTCCTCTTATGCTCAGCACCTCATTCTTCAACTTCAATATTTTCTTCCTTTGCCTTTCAATATTCAAATCCCTTCCATGAACAACTTCATCACCTACCCACTTGAAAAAATTACACCCCTTCTCCAATTGATTCATGTAATTCCTACAGCCCCAAAACTTTTTCCCAATATTGACACTATTCAGGTCTGTAACAGTATGCTTCATACACTCTTCTTGGCACCAATAATTCATTATTTTGTTTCTTATCACCACAGATCCAAATGACCCACAACTTAGGGAGTTTGATTTTGAGTAATTACTGGAGTTCATTGACATCTTCATGAAATCTTCGTAGGAATCATTTACGTGAACAAAATCGTGAAAATAGATGAAGTAGAAGACTGGTGAAGGAGAGGAATGAGGAAGGAGAAGAAGAAACCTTGCCCTAAATATTGAAAATGGAGAAGACTGAAAAAAATTAATATAATACAATATGCTGAGTCACAAATACAAAATAAGCCTTGTTGTCATGCCAGATCACCCAACTTAACGTTTTCACACTCAAATTAATAGAATGGACCAACTTGAATAACGAAAGTTTTTTTACGGGACTTAGATGTAACGTTTATTACATAAGGGACCAAACTGAAACCTTAAATTCAGTTAGGAGACTTCAGGACTAAATAAGTCTAAAATATAATACAATGCATTAAAGTTAGATATCACAATTATAAAATCCTTTAGGAAAGATGCACCAAATTCAATGACAATTTTTTTCTTTATTCTATATTAAAATCAAATTAAAATATCATAAATATTCTAATTTTTTTTAGAAAATAGTCAAGAAAAATAATAAATTTAATTATTTTATTGATTATTGTCCTATATTTTTTATTTTGACTTTGTTTTAAAATCTAAACTTTAACTAATTTTTAATGAAAGTTTAATATATTAAAGTTATTTTTATTTTTAACATATAAAAAGTTCAAAATTTAACTATTTTTGAAGTTACATTCAAACCTCTGTCTCATCTATAACTTATATATTTAACGATTTTTAAGTGATTCATTAATACAAATGATAATTTGCCACTTTTTAAAAGTAAATACGAATTTTCGTTTTCCTTTCTAAAAATGACATTAATTATATCATGGGACGAATGCAACGCAAAGACGTGGATTCGAACATGATGTTGTTTTATTATTTTTTAAAAGTGAAATTCTAACTTATTAAAACTATTAAAAAAAATTGAGATTCAAAAGTACTTTCTTTTGTCTCTTAACTAGCAAATGATGTTACATGAACAAAAGGCAAGCTTAATTGGAGTATCATGACAAGAACAATCTCTAATCTCGACTCCTGGATATTTCTCACTGACTGCATCAGCACATGCACTCCCACCACATAGTCCTTGCAACATCACTACCCTAATACAATAGTCTGGACGATTGTCAATGTTCCTTCCTATCACATTATCGACAAGAAAAATATATAAATTGGGTTTAATCAATAATGTAACTGTGAACAAACTTTAATAATGTTATTATGTTGAGTTAGATTTACCATAGGTTTGGCTAAAGAGAGTAAACATAGCCACCAACATTAGGAGAATGATTCCTTTCTTCATCATGATTTTCTTTAAAGTCAAATATTGATTGTCGAGATTATGAGAATGTTATGACAAGGTGAAATAACAAAAACTAATACTACATATTTATAAGGATCATAGAAGGTAATGGCCAAATATTAATTTTTATTCAATCAAAAGTAAAATATAATGACCACTAATTTTAATAGGCAACGGATCATTAATGGACATTTTAATAAAATGTTTATAGTTAAAAGGTTGTTATTAGAGTCAGAAGCTTCCGAGACTTATTTAGAAGCAGTAGAGTTTTTGAGGATGTTAGTCAGAAATTGTAGGTTTCTGAGACTGGTTAGTCAGAAGCAGTAATTAGATGTTATCTTAACTATTAAGTATTCTTTTGTTAGGATCTATGTGGTAGTTTATTTTGTGCATTTAAACAAGTTTGTAGCTAGAATTTTTTGTAAGAAAGTTAATCAAATCGTTAATAGAGTTTCTTTCTCAACAAGTTTGTCACAATCATCTTTTTGTCTCTCTTCTTTCTCTCTCTTCTCTTCCATCTTCATTTGCATCTTCAATATTGTGCACCAACAATTGGTATCTAGAGCTCTGATTCGATTCACATGGAAACACGAGAGTAAGTGAGGCGTGGGTGATTAGTTTCGTTGTTTGAATTCACGTTGAATTCAATATCGGAATCGTAACAGAATTGAATTTCTTGATTTTGCGGGATCAGGAAACACGAGTGTTTGGTGAGATCTGAGTTTGAGTTTCAGTGCACAATACGAAGATGAGCGGCGAAAATAGCTTAAATACTAATCTTTCGATGGATGATTGAAATGTGTGTGTTGTTCGATGCTCAAAACATTCTTGATCTTGTTACCAAAAATTATGTTCTGGTTGTAGTGGATGCGACAGAGTAACTGAGAAATACACAGAGAGATATAAGGAAGAAAGATCAGAAAGTGGTATTCTATATTCACCAGTGTGTGAATATGAATGTGTCTGAGAAAATCATTGATTCGACGATGATAAAGGTTGCATGGGATATACTGACATGGTGCTATGACAGTGATGTGTTAGTGAATAAGGTGAAGCTTCAATCTCTACGTAAGCAATATGAGAATCTCAACATGAAGTACAATGAGAAGGTATAAGATTACATCTCTTGAGTGATTTTGATCACAAATAAGATGAAATTATGTGGAGAAACTCTTTCTGAACAAGTAATCATTGAGAACATATTGAGATCTCTTACTCCTCAATTTGATTGTGTTGTTGTAGAAATTGAACATTCTAAAGATCTGGACACCATGAGAAACAAAAAGATGCAAAGTAGTCTAGAGGCACAAGAGTTACGTGTGATTGGAAGAATCTTTGAGAGAGCGGTATAGCAGACTCTGAAGGCGTCTTCTAGTAAGAAATATCATAAGCGGTCTTGGTCAGAGTCTAAGAAGAGATATAGTGGTCCTCAGAAGTCAGAAGCCTCTAATTTTGATGAGAAGAAACGTCATAAGGGAAAGGATAAGTTTGATAAGAAGAAGGTTCAATGCTACTGTTGTAAGCAGTTTGGCCAATTTGCTAAGGATTTTTGGTCAAATAAGTAAAGGAAATCAGAAGAAGCAAACATAGTCATAGGAGATTCTGATAATGAACATATGCTATTGATGACTTATGAGTCTAATGGTAGGTATTTGGTAGATTGGTGGTATATGGACACTAACTGCTTAAATCACTTAACTGGAAACAAACAATGTCTGATTGATTTTAACTCCAGAAAGAGAACAAAGATCATATGCGCTAATGATAAGTACCTTAATGCAAAAGGTATGATAAATGTCAAAGTCAAAGTGAAGAATGGAAGAATCGTTATGGTCAAAGATGTTTGATATGTTCCTGACATGAAGGGCAATCTGATGAGTGTAGGTCAGCTCATTAAGAAAGGTTTCTTAGTTACTATGAAGAACAATCTCTTGAAGTTGTATGACCCTGATCAAAAGTTGATTATGTGATCTGAGCAGGGAAACAACAAAATATTCAAGGTTAATGTGGAGACAGCTGAAACTAAATGTCTTAGTGTAGAAGGTGTTGAAGGTGATAATGATTTGTGGAACAAGATATTGGGGCATCTGAACTTCAGAAGCTTAGGGCATCTGAGTTCTAACAAGCTGGTATATGAAATTCTGGAGATTGTGAAGCCTGAGAAGTCATGTGAGATATGCATGAAAGACAAGCAACCGTGACTGTCATTTGCGTCAGAAGTAGTCCCAAGAGAAAAGCATGCTCTAAGAGTAGTGCATTTTGATGTAAGTGGACCATTTCCATTACATTCACTTGGAGGTGACAAGTATTTTATGTCATTTGTGGATAAGTTCATAAGAATTACATGGTTCACACTCATCAAGCTTAAGCATGAGGTGTTTACCGATTTCCATAAGTTCAAGGTTAATGTTGAGAAACAAAGTGGTCAGAAATTGAAAGTTCTTAGAACTGACGGTGGAGATGAGTATAACTCTAGAGTTCCATAAGTTATGTGAGGATAATGAAATTGACCATGAGGTTATTGCTCTATACACTCCTCATTATGATGGTCTTGCTGAAAAAAGAAATAGAACTTTGCTTGATATGACAAAGAGCATGTTGAAAGAGAAGAAACATACTCATTTCAAGATATTTGGTTCAGTTTGTTACAAACATGTTCTTTAAGTTTTCTATATAATAAATTTGTCTTTATTGACGTCTCACCTTATCAATGCCTCTCATTTTTAATTTTTCTATATATACATGTAAAATATAATGACGTGTCGCCTTATTTTTATTTTTTTTTTGGTAAAGTCCTTGACTTTGTATATTGATTTCAAAATCCGAATGCTATACAAAGGGTGATCAATCTTGGATCAGGCCCTCAAAAAAATCTAGAACGACAAATAAAATCAAAAACACAGAGGATATTACATCATCATCCTCTTTGCTAAATGTTTTCTCATCTTAATTCTACTCCACCCTCTATATACAATATTTTCAATAATATCGTTCTCTATATTTCTAGTTTTTGATTCCTTCTTGAAGATTGTTTCATTTCTGTGCTTCCAAACTGTGTACACCGTTTCAGCGGCTGCTAGCTTTAACAGCATAGATTTCCAACTTTTGCTTTTCCCTTTTCTGCAAAGCCACTCAAGTTCTTCATCCCATTCTGCAGGTTCATGTCTAATACGAATCCAAGTAAGCACTTTTCTCCAGATGGATTTCAAAGTGTCGCAACCAAAGAAGAGGTGTTGTATGCTCTCATCCCGAGTGCAGAAGAAGCAAGTGCTGTCCACTTCCATCCCGTACTTACGGAGTCTATCTCTAGTAGCCAGTCTTGAGTGACATGCCATCCACATCACGAACTGCGCGCGGGGTCTAGCCAGATTACTCACGAAAAGGTTCTTCCAACTCAATCCTTGACCATCCTCCATAAACGACCTATATAACCTCTTCATATTGAACTTATCCTGGTGTAGTAGTTGTTCCCAAACAGAATTAGTATGTAGCTTTTTGCTGACCTGCACAATATGATTCATCACCCAAGAATAGTTTGGTTTACATGTCATACTCATCATTTTAACGTCTTTCATTTTAACTTCTTTTTAGGATTTATATTTATAACTAGTGAGATACTCGTGCATTTACACGAGTACCGATTGGTACGCGCATTTGTTCTCTCTCTCTCTCTCTCTCTCTCTCTCTCTCTCTATATATATATATATATATATATATATATATATATATATATATATATATATATATATATATATATATATATATATATATATATATATATATATATATATATATATATATATATATATATATATATATATATATATATATATATATATATATATATATATATATATATATATATATATATATATATATATTATTTTTGTTTTAGAATTATTGTCAAAAATATTTAAACCAATAATAAAGTAGTTTTATTATTATTCAATATTTTTATCAGTAATTTCATGTTCCCGTTATTATTCAATATTTGGATGAGTAATTTCATGTTTATGTTATTATTAAATATTTTGATCAGTAACTTCATGTTTCTGTTAATATTCAATATTTTGATCAGTAATTTTATGTTTCCGTTAATATTCAATATTTTGATCAGTAACTTAATATTTCCGTTAATATTCAATATTTTGATCAGTAACGTCATGTTCCCGTTAATATTCAATATTTTTATTAGTAACTTCATATTCCTGTTAATATTTAATATTTTGATTAGTAATTTAATAATTCTGTTAATATTCAACATTTTGATCAGTAATTTAATGATTCTGTTAATATTCAATATTTTGATCAATAATTTAATATTTTCATTAATATTCAATATTTTGATCAATAATTTCATGTTCCTATTAATATTCAATAGTTTGATCAATAACTTCATGTTCTCGTTAATATTCAATATTTTAATTAATAACTTCATGTTCCACGTTAATATTCAATAGTTTGATCAATAACTTCATGTTCTCGTTAATATTCAATAATTTGATCAGTAACTTTGTGTTCTCGTTAATATACAATTGTTAATATCCTAGTTTATATAGATAGAATTAGTTCTCATATATTCTATGGTTTTTAGCCTATTAGGGGATGCCACGTATACTGTTTTTACATCCTTTGATATCCACTCATTTCTATCCTTTATCCTTTGTATATATATATATTGCTTACTGTACCCTATATTGATCAATCAATAAAATGAGCAAGTTCTGGTGCAGTATAGTAACTGATTTCTGTTACATTTTCCAACTGCTTCTTGCATTCTTCTTCCTTCTTCCAGCATCTCACCAAGGTGAGCTTATCACCTTTTACATGGTATCAGAGCAAGAACTGCTCTGGTAGCCATTGTTGCGATTTTTTTTATTATTGTGAACCTTTCTTTCTTTCTTCTTGGCTGTTTGCGTTTCTGTTCTGTTTTTCACAATCCTTTTCTTCGCCTTTCTCTTCTGATGGCATACCAGAGCTACAATGATTTTTCCACAAATTCT